GGCATTCCCCCTTCTTCCTGCATCAGGGGTACCATCCTGAGATCCAAGTGCGGATCAATCCGATGTCTGCGATGCCTGCGGCCGCTGATCGGCTCAAAATCCTGAAGGAGATCCGGGACGACACGCGCTCTGCGCTTGAGCTGTCAGCCGAGCGCATGAAGGTGTACTATGACAAGCACGTGCAGGAGGCACCGGTCTTTGCGCCGGGGGACAAGGTCTGGCTTGATGCCCGGAACCTTAAGCTGAAACAGCTGAGCAAGAAGCTCAGTCCCAAGCGCCTCGGACCTTATGCCGTGTGGCGAAAGCTCGGAGACCTGGATTACGAATTAGTCCTGCCGAAGTCGGTGCCAGTGCACCCGGTATTCCATGTCTCCCTGCTAAGCAAGTACACGCGTAGCGACATCCCGGGCCGAGAGCCGGAGGAGCCACCTGCCATTGAGGTTGAGGGCGACGAAGAGTACGAGGTTGAGCGGATCAAAGATTCGAGGATCTTCCGGCGTCAGCTGCAGTACCTCATCAAGTGGAAGGGTTATGACAACTCGCACATGTCATGGGAACCGGCGCGCAACGTTGCCAATGCGCCGGCCCTCGTAGCCGACTTCCACCGGAAGAATCCGAACGCCCCTCGCCGCCTCAATGCCGCTACATTCGGTGGTCTCAACTTTCAGCCGATGCCTTCGCCGCTGACTGAAGCACGATGCCGCTCTGGGTGGGAGATGGGCAAGGGCGCCTCGCATGAGGTCATGCGCCGTTGAGGGGGGGGGTAATGTCATGAGTTGACATGGCGTCTAGCCGTTATTTAATTTTTTCCTTTTCGCGGGCTCGAACCCGCGACCTCTGTACTACATGCCTGATATGGACACATCACTATCTACTGTACGATTAGATTAGATGGGCAGCAGTGCACGGCACAGCTCGGGCTCCGCTGACACAGCCTCTCTGACTCACCGGCCCCCGAGGACGCGTCAGCATGCTGCGCACGGACCAGCTGTGCACGGACCAGTGCGCACAGCCTCCCCTAAACTTCCCCTGTATATAAGCCGGCCTCTGCTGCCCTAGGGACCTCAGTTTCGACCTCTTGTCCCTAGGTCAGTAAGCCTTCAGTAGTATTCCTTTTCTTTACCTAACTAATATATTATCTTGTCCCTAGCCTTAGGTTTGAGCGTAGCTCACCATCGCTTCGGTGAGATCAGTCGAACACCCCCAGCTCTCAGACTCTCCCCTGTCGCTTGACCCCAAGTCACGACACAGGCATTCCACCTCCTCGTCT